TGAAGAGCTGGACTCGCGTTTTGAGCTATTAATTTATTTTACAAGTGTGTTTTCATAGATAAATAAGTAATTTGTACATATATTTGTTATTTTATATTCATAATCCCTTTTTTTTTTATTGTGTTATAATTATAGAAATATTCTTATCACATGTCAGTTTATTATTCAATAAAGGCTTTACTATTATTATTCTTATCATTATTCTTATTATCATTATTATTAGTATATGTAATAGGACTCCATGCTGTCCAACTAAGAAATAATTGGACGAGAAAATTCCGAGGACTGACAAAATTGGATGAGGCCGTAGGCCGAGTCTAATTTGGCAGTCAGTGGAATTTTTCGAGTCTAATTATTTCTTGATTGGGGAGCATGAAATCCCGTTACCTATTGATTATATAGCTGCCTAATTAATCCCACATTAACAAGACCTGTCCAATTAAGAAAATAATTGGACAGTTACCTACATAGGATTAATGAGAGGCTGCATAATTATTATTATTATTATCGTCATTTTTATTATTATTATYATTGTTATTACATAAAACATAAGATAATGCTTACACATGATATAATGCCTACTTTTCACAGATAATGCTGCGGAAAGTTTATTAGATATAAGTACACCAACACCAGCTGCTGCTGGTAAAGAGAGAAAGGCACCGCATTGTAAAACGTGTCACGAGCCAATGAAGGGCCATAAAAAAGGGAAGTGTAGCAACTCTCCGCAGGGTAAGTCTCTGCAACAACTGCTTTTATTCCTTCGCTCGTGAACTGTGTTTCTACCATTTTTATTAAACTAGTTATTAACGTTTGAGGCCGGCAAAGGTAAAAATTGGAATAGGCGCCCAATGAAAGTGCGTATGACACCTAACTCAATATTTCCAGCATTGATTCTACATGAAGTGAATAGTTGAATGGAAAATACTTTTATATGATTTGAGTGATGAATCTTGGAAATATTGAGGGGTTTATACGTACAATTAATATGTTAATGAGTGAGACGTCAAAGAAGGCATTTGAGTTGGTTTGTCATTATTTGTAAATTGAAACACTTATTACTATGAGAAAACAAATTTGCAATAACCTTTCTATAAACCCTCGGAGACATTGATATTGTATACAGGATCAACCGCCCCAGAAACGTTTTGTATATTTGATATTTAATGCCTCTTTTTTGTACGGGGCTATGCTATGATGAAAAAGAAATTGTGAGTGAAACAAGAACATGATCAACTAAAAATGAAAGAACCTGTTAGACGAAACAGTGGGAAGGGTAACGCTAGTTCAAAATCCCGGTCAAAATGCATTCGTAGTGCAAACCAACCTCGCTTCCTTCAACAACACCGACAATAAGTCGCGCGATTTGTTTTCAACTGGCTGTTTCGGGTGGATTGGCTAGCGCTATTATCAGAAAGTACTAATTACAAAGACTTTGTTTGCAGGAGGAAATGTGACTTTCGAACGCACTATCGAGAAATGTTCGGATGGCACAACGACAACAACAGGACGAGTTGTAAGTAAATATGATATATCAAAAAGGTTTTACGTCCAATGATAGATACCTGATACTCCAATTTTTGATTAATAGTTGCTTAGAAAAGCATAATATCAAAAAGGATAAAGATATGAAACTGGTAACAGTTTTAATATAACAACTATTCTACTTGATAATACCTATTGTTATAGTATCTAAATTTCATTTGATTTATATTCACTCGCAATCTTCTTGCTTTCTTACACTTGATAATGGCGTCATGACGACTCCGAAACGTCGTGTTATTAAAACTGTTACCAGTTTCATACTTTTATTTTTATTTATTTATTATGCTTCCAACAAACTGTTGTGGAGAACTAGACAGGTGATACCACCTATAGGATAGTCACTAGATATGAAATGAGGGTTCTACGCCACTTGGAACCTCACTTTTTGAGGTTCCAGTGAGGTGCCGGAGGAGGTGACGTCATAGCTATTCTAAAGTGAGGCTCCAGTGAGATGCCGTTCTGAGCCACTCGGAACCTCACTTTGAAGAAGAATCTACAGACCTCGAGCTGAGCGAAGATTCCTCTGGTGAGGAGGGGCAATTTTCGAAATCAGACGAGAATGAGATCAATAGAATGGTGCGACAGCTTCCTAAAAGTATGCCGCGACAAAAAGCGCTGCATTTTCTTCATAGCATGGTAGCATCAAAAGATATCTTGTATTGGAATTCCCATGGTGAAATGACTCATCATTATCGAAGAATTCCAGTGACCAACATGAGAGAATTAATCGATTATGCTTTATCACCTTACAACCCAGAAGTAAGGTCCCCAAGAGGGCTCAAGACTTTTACTGATGGATTGGCAGAGCTGGACTTGGACAAAAGCCTTATTCGAAAGAAAATGCTATTGGCAGATCTCGTTGCTAGGCAACTCGAGGACGACTCTGATTCAGAAGTTAGCAATAGTGAAACTGTAAGTGACGACGGAGCTGAAGAATTCCAAGAGGAGGAAAATGACAGTGAGGAGCAAGAGGAATAAGAATCGGAGAGTGCGGACAAAGATGAAGAAAGAGAGTGACACGTTTGTCAAGAACCCAAATCCTTTTTAAGATATCAGTGGCGCAATGCCCAAATTGTTTTTGGCATGAAGCGTATAACAATCCTCAAAACCAATTAGTCGCATGAAATGTTTGCTCACACCCATTTCAACTCAGTGTCAAAAAAACAAAAGAAATGTTTTATCGATGTAAAAGCTGTGATTCAATGCATCTACTGGCATTAAAATCGAATACCTTAAAGCCTCTTGTTATGACTCAGAAACCTGAAGAGGGAGAAGAAGAACATTATTCAATTTCTGATTTTCATCGGCCTCCTATGTTCGTATGAAACATCTTATAAAAATGTCGTAATAAAATGACTAAAACGATTGAGAGCGGTCGCAAAGTAATACTAAGCTTTTTTCTTTCCGAGATCAAAATTTATTGATAACAGAAGAAAAAACTAACATGTGAAGCTAACTTTAAAGTAGTTTCGATTTTAAGTAGGTGATTCGCGTGATTAGATCCATAATTATGCAAAAAACCGTCTTTTTGGTGAGTCCTTTTTGGGGGGGAGGGGGGGTTCCCCTATTGTTTCAAGTGACGGGTGTTTCTATTGAACAATTATATACTGACAAAAAAATGAAAGTTTTAGGTTAACTTTATATATCTACTTTATATTGAGCGTTTCATGAAAAAAAAAAGATTTTTGAAAAAAACATTATTGCTGTTGTTCCTTGGGCAAGTCATCTATTGTTTGTTTTTGATGAGTCAACAATTTGATTAAAGATAACAAATTCGATCCAAGATAAACATTGTGTGTTGTTAGAAACGATAGCCAACACGTGCCTTACATTAGAGAACGCGAGCCAAAAGAACACCCCACAAAATTCGAAAATCTTCCTTATTGCGTCGTGGTGCAATCCAGCAAACTAAAAAAAGACATGGTTGACCGCTAAATATAGACATGATGAAGACCACCTTTCCCCGCCGGTAAAAACACGGGCTAGTAAGAATAGCTATGACGTCACCTCCTCCGGCACCTCACTGGAACCTCACAAGGTGGTTAGTTTCTATTTTGAAAAGTATTTTAGACTCTTTCTTGTTTAAAAGGAGATTTAGACAAAGGAAAACTATCCTGGGCTTAGCCTCGAATCCAGGAGTTGCTTGTTTTTGTCATTCTAATTTATGCTTTTGTTTTGAGATCTCAGAAGTGAGATTAAGCCCGCATGACTAGAGTTTTAAGAGCCGTCAATTATGCTGTTGAGTATGTCTAGTAAGACCACTTTCAGGGGCTCATCCAGGATTTCCCATAGGCTGCATTCATTACGTATGCCAGAGGGGCAAGTCAGGGAGGAGACCAAAATTCTAAATTGTATTGGAAAATATCACCTGACTTGCCCCCCTGACATGCATAATGAATGCAGCCTATGAAAGCAGCCTTATCTCAACAAATGAGGAAGGGGGCTACACACAACCTAGGATCCTCCCCTGGATACGCCCTTAATATCGTTGGCATATATCTGTTTGTCAGTGTTTGGACTGGTCAACTGATCGAATAACCTTGTTTTATTTATTTATTAGACCTTCCTTCCAGATATGCTTGAAAGAAACGGTAATCAATAGCTGATGTACAATGAAAATATCTGAATGATCCGCCTATGGAAGACCAAAGGTTCCTATTTCAATGAACTATAACCTCAGTATCAATTGAGCTTTCGCGTTTGGTCATGATAATATCTGTGAGTATTGTTCTATGGTCGACTTCTCATAGCATTGGCGGATAGAGTTTAGCATTCTTGATAAGTCTGGTCCAGGTACAACTAATGAGACAGGAATCTTCTCTGTTGCAGTTATTAGTCCGTTTAAAAGTTTTTATGGATTCTTCGATGAGTCGAGAGAAGTACTTGGGAAGTACTTCTTCTTAGCGAGAATTTGAACTGATTTAAAGGCGAAGTTGTGATGAGCGTGGTCAGCTATGGCGGAGAGATATTATTATCCGTTATAAAATACCTCATAAATCTTGCGTTCTGATTGGTTTGGGAGTACACCGCACACATGCGCACTTTCATTTGCGTCATTCCTATCTAAAATAACGGTTATATTATTGTATTTTGTATTTTTGCTTGCTGTGCTGTGTGGAGTTATAAAGCACTTGGGGATAGACCCTTTTCGAGTTCCAAATAACCGCTGTGTTTCTTGATTACAGACTCATTTGCACAGGGTTAGCCTCGATTTTGTGTAGAATATTCACGTGTTCCAGTCAAGGTCCGTCAAGTTTCAAAGTGTTCGTATTTTTGAAGTTGTGCATCCTTTACTTAACCGTTGGTATTTGCGAGTAATTAGACACTGATTCGAGGTTTATCCATTTTTTATCTCCTCTCATTGGCCAAGAAGTGCCACGTGATGTTTATTAAGTGTCTCTGTTTCCTAGCAATTGTTTTGAGTGGGCAACAATACTGTTCACCGATGAATAGCAAATAACGAAAATATCAAACATATGTTTCACGATGCTCATCGCCGTCACCGCGTACCTGTGCACTGTCCTATGAGACAGAACAAAGACATGAAAAGGGCTGCCTTGATCGATGAGGTCAATGCGCGCTCCTCACCCTTGTGCAATTGTAAGATGTGTCGTTGTCTCTATGTTCTCTATGACGAGACAGAA